TGACTTTTTAAGTATCATAACGTCACGACGCGCCGTTTCAAGTTATTCCAACTTTTGTTATTAAATAATGTATACGTACATGTTCGTATTTAGCATCTTAACAATTTTCAATTTCTGTTGTAAATGCGAAAATGAACGTAAAGATCCAGTATAAATATATCAATATCCTAAATTAGCAAAAAAAATTCTTCGGCTGACCTCCGCCTTTTTCGAAGTTTTTGGTTACCCTGAACACTAAAAAAATATCCCAGCTCTGTTACAAAATCCTTTTAAGACAGTGTAATTGTTGCAAAAAGTTTATTTATTTCATGTAAAAAAATGAATATGTATAGAATTTTGTTATGATAATTACAAACATAATTTAGATTGGTATTAATAATGATTCATGTCTCTGAAGTTCGCAGTACTTAATTGATGGTTGTTCACAGTGGCGTAACTACAATGGTGCAATGGCTCGGTTAAAGCGTAACAAAAACTTTTGGTAAAAAAATTTTGGTAATTTTAAAAACCATGCAAAAACGAACTATTGAGTATCGACACTACTTTATTCGAAATTTTTTAAATTGTTTGTCGTTTTATAAATAAATGTATACGTTTGTCGTTTTATACGGTTGTATATAAAACTTTCCAAAAATATACTTCCGACACTAAAAAATTGGTTTTCAGGTACTATCGTAGACACCAAAAAAAAACATGCGAAAAGAGTTATAACTTGTTATAGTTATAGCCTTGTATTGCATAGCTATAGCGCATGCAATACAAGGCTTCGAGTTGCGGTGTTGCCAGATTTTAACCTTTACTGCTTATTTGTAGGAAAGATTAATTCATATATTTTTAATGGGTGACGTTCATAATATCGAAATTCACTTTATCGAATTCAAAATATCGAACACTTTTTATCGAAAATCAAAATATCGAAAATACAAAATGTCGAAAATCAAAATATCGAAAATTAAAATGTCGAAAATGATAATATCGAAATTTTATTTTATCGAATTTTCAATTTATCGAAAATAAAATATCGACGTTCATAATATCGAAATTCACTTTATCGAATTCAAAATATCGAACACTTTTTATCGAAAATCAAAATATCGAAAATACAAAATGTCGAAAATTAAAATGTCGAAAATGATAATATCGAAATTTTATTTAATCGAATTTTAATGTGAAACTAAACCATATTTTCTTATTTTGAATTTGATATTTTGTTTAAATATTTCAATTAATCGACATATTATTTTAATCCGAAGTGTATATGTATAGAGGCGCCTCTGATATAGAAATGTACTCAAACTCAACAACACAACCCAACCGACCCCGCCCCATTGGCCCCCCCCCGCCCCATTGAGCAAAAAACCCAACTAAAATGGGCTAATTTATGTAATTAAAAAGTGTTTTATTTTTATCGTAACATGAATTTGCCCATTTTAGTTGGGTTTTTTGCTCAATGGGGCGGGGGGGGGCCAATGGGGCGGGGTCGGTTGGGTTGTGTTGTTGAGTTTGAGTACATTTCTATAAAACGCGCATCTCTAGGAGCCAGGGAGCCAAGATAATTCGGTGCATAACCGTAACTTTATCTACAGAGGCGCCTCTATACATATACACTTCGATTTTAATCATACATTTTAATTTTCGATATTTTTAAATCGATATTTTAATTTTCGAAATTTTAATTATTCGACATTTTCAAATCGACATTTTAATTTTCGATATTATCATTTTCGACATTTTCAAATCGACATTTTAATTTTCGATATTATCATTTTCGACATTTTCAAATCGACATTTTAATTTTCGATATTATCATTTTCGACATTTTAATTTTCGAAATTTTAATTATTCGACATTTTCAAATCGACATTTTAATTTTCGATATTATCATTTTCGACATTTTAATTTTCGATATTTTGATTTTCGACATTTTGTATTTTCGATATTTTGATTTTCGATAAAAAGTGTTCGATATTTTGAATTCGATATAATGAATTTCGATATTGTGAACGTCACCCATTTTTAATGGCTTAACCGCCAGCGCAAACCAAAGGTCTTACGAATTGCGCTTTAATCTGTCTGTAGTTTGAAATTTTGGTAACGAAACGGGTTACAACAATCACATTGTTTTACGTATGATGATAATTTAAGTAAGCTACTATTAGAGATTTTGTGACTCGACTTGCAATTTTTATTTAATTTAATTTTTAAAACTATTATTATTATTATTTATTTTTTTGTATCTGCGATAGACTTTAGGAAAATTTGTTAAAATTACTAATTTTTCTGAAAATTGTCATATTTTGCATAATATAATTTATAAAGAATTTTAATTCCAAATGAAGAAGCGATTTTATTCCACTATGAGGGTGGGTGATTCGTAACATTAACCGTTGTATTAATTCTATAGAATACAATCTAAAATTCTGATTTTAAGCAGACTTATACTTGAAATGTGAGCGCTTCTAATAGCAATTCAAAATTTTTAAAAATTTCTAAAGATTTTGAAAAAAAAATGCAATATAGAATTATCAAAATCGTGCATCAAAAACTTTACCCTGCGGCGAGCTATGTGAATTATTGAAAATTTCTATACATATATATCGAGTCAAATGTAGTCAAAACATTGACAATATTTTTTTTTTTAAATTAAGTCGCTAACTTCAACGGTTGTAGAAATATGAATTTTTATCCAAGAGTCCTGAAATTCGCGCTAGAATAATACATCAAACATATAACTGGAAAACAAATTTTCAAACGCAAAAACGAAAAATGCACCGATACTTGATTCAACTACCTAAACCCCGTATAGCATACAGCGCGAGCAGATCAGGCAAGACAGAGTAAGCATGTCGACACGGTTTCGAATATCCGAGCCCTGTCACATACATATAAATAATTCTTAAGTCTTTTGAATTAAATAGATATTATTGTAGATTTCACAACAGTGCCTAGCGACTTTTTATTGGTTGTTTTGTATTCGCGGCAAGGTCAGAGAGAGAACGATAAAACCGGATGGGACTTTATGATGTATATCATAGTACCTCTAGAAAGTGCTCACAAAATTTGAGCTCTTAATATTAATAGTAAGACCCTCCTCATCACAGTTTTTTATTTTTTTAGTCCCTTATAAAAAAGACCATATTCAGCGGCGTAACTAAAAAAAGTGCCGCCCGGGGCAGCAGTGGCTGTCGCCCTCATGTTTTTTTTGGGGGGGGGAAGAGAGGTTAGGTTAGGAGTCAGTTTTGAGGACCGTACGCAAAATTAAAAATATATAATTATAACATATATATAACATTATATAACATATATATAACATTATATAACATATATATAACATTAAATTGTAATATTTTAAGAATTAAAAACAAACAAAAATTATATATATATATAACATTATATAACATATATATAACATTAAATTGTAATATTTTAAGAATTAAAAACAAACAAAAATTCTTAGACCTAGGTAAAGAAAAACAACAAATAAAATGTGCTTTAACATAATTTATATAAAAAAACAAAGAGATAAATTCTCAACCTTATGTAAAAGTACCTACAAAAAAAACTTAAACCTTTATTGGTAACTTATGTCGGCGGTAGACTGATTACTCATCAAAGGTACAATACCGGTCTTGTTTCTATTTTTTGCTAGCTTTATTTGATTTGGAATATTTTGGGAGTAATTGTATAAATCTCAAATCTATTGGAATTTTGAAATTATTTCGAAAGAGAATATTTAATTATCAAATATTTTTTTTATTTTTATATTCTGTCTTCCAGTTTTTTTCGCATTTTCTCTCACGATTTTTGCCGCCCCAAGAAGTGCCGCCCGGGGCGGACCGCCCCCCCCACGCCCCCCCTAGTTACGCTACTGACCATATTTCATTATTAATTAATCGTTTAATCAAATCTTTATACATATTTTTGTAGGAAATTGAATGCCTTACAAAAAAGGACTAGTGTTTAAGCGATTACTCTAACCATTAAAAAAAAAATTCAAGATCAAAGTTTGAAGAATTTATTAAAAAAATAGTATATATAATTTTATTTTCAAATTTGGTGAGCACTTTCTAGAAGTGCCTAAGAACCAATTTTTCAGTATCGGGAGTAAAAAAAATGATCTATTTTTTTGAATCACCCTAATATATAATTACAATTTTTTTAAACTAAACTAATAACAGTTTTTGGTGGCGGTAGAATTGTTTTGGGTCCACTTTGCACTTTGTTTAAAATAATTATAATTGGATATCATTATTGTCCCGATGATGATAAATCCTACATTTTTTTCATTTATATGTATATTATAGAGATGAGAGGGGGGCCGTATCTAAGATTTGAAACCATGGCCCCACGTTGTCTTGTTACGCCACTGGTTGTTCACTTGTTTATTTTAGTGGTTATTGCCTTTGTTTTAACAGTTACGATTTTCTTTGGGAAAATTTATTTGAGGAAATTAATTTATTTTTATTTATTAAAACTGGACAATCACGTGTTTTGGCCAATGTGTTTTTTGTGGTTTTAATATTCTTTTCTTATTATTAACATGCCCCCTTGCCCCGTTTGTTACAGTACTAAAGTTTTAAACTTCCACTTTCCAAATTTTGAAAAAAAAAATGTATTCAAACATTTGTTAAAGGTGACTTGATTGATAAATTATTAGTTCTAATTTTTCTTTCAACGTAAAAAATCTTAGGCTTCCTATTTGGGAAATGTCTAGTATTGTTTCAACCAGAACTTGAATTTTGTAGTACCTAAAACAAAATTCAGGTTCTTGTTAAAACCCATTTAATGTTTTAAACAAGTTTTTAATTTCTTATATGCAATTAACCAGTGATCGCTCATTTAATACTTTCTATAAAACGTTGTTAGGGTATTATAAAAGACGTTTTTACGAGTAAATCCCTAGTATTTGTTTGTGTCAAAGAATGTTTACTTTACAGAGGAAACAGAGTATTGGCTATGCGAGTATGTAAGTCGATCGGCGACAGCGAAGAAGCACTTACCTAAAAACCACTTGAGGACCGGCGGCGGATTTCCATAGTGAGAGACGCATTTCACGACGGCCACTTCGCCGTGCATCGTCGTCAAATTGTGTCCCGGATGGACCTGAGTGCCGTTGAACTCGACGCGAGGTCTTTGGGGTGGAACTGCAACAACAAAAAAAGGATTTACAAACCAAGTAAATAATGCCTAAGCACTGTAAAATGTGCATTGTACAATGTACATGTATGGCATTTATAGTCAAAATATGGCTGTAAAAGCAAAGTTCTTTATACTCGTATAAAGATATATCCTATAGTTTAATTTTTATATCTCAAAAATATTCAAATAAATAATAATTTATATTAAAATATGTTTATATTAATTACTAAGGGCCGTATGCAGAAACGTTCATTTATTTATTTCAACTGATTTTCGCATATATACTGATTTCAGTTTGAACCAATTTGGAAACATACAAATTTTAAACTAAAGATAATAAAGATTTGTAGGTTATCTTACATATACTTAAATATGTGTTTATTACATTATTAAAATGTAATATTAAATATACTCATAAATACATTTATAACTGACTAAACATTATTATTGACAAAAACTTGGTTTGAAGGGGATTGCCGCGATATAAAACATCATAATTGGGTTATGTTCGCAGTTTGCAATGTGTTTTGGTATAAGTAAATTTGCATTAGAAGGTATGAATAACGAAAATTAAGGCTTAAAGCCTCTGAAAATAACAAAGAAATTTTGTTGAAGTTGGTGGAAATTTTATTCAAGTGTGTTCTTGTAGAAGATTAATTAATTATATTATAATTATAATAATTATAATATAATTATAATAATTATTTTATAATAATTATTATAATAATTTTTATTATTTTATAATTATAATAATTATATATAGTTATAGCCAGTGACCCGGACCCAAATGAAATAACGGTTCATGTCCGGTTTCGAGAGGAACGACAAATTTCCAAAAAAAAATATTTCTGTCCGGTTCGGACCAATCTTTTCGGTCCATACGGTTTTTTCGGTTCCAATTTTTTTACCATGTAGGTATAAATAAGTAAATTTATAGAATAAAAAAATTATTTTTTGTAAATTTAATTACTTTGTCTATTCTTTTTTTCAAATCAGGTTCTTCAATTTTAGGCTTTTCATTCTCTTTTTCTTTACTTTTATTCTGATCTTGCGATTGAAAAACATTAAAATAAGTTCATATATATATATATATAACACATAATCTTGTAACATTATGTGAAGTTGATTATACGAAGCGAATTTGCAGTTAAATTTCTATTTCAGAAGGCCGCATTACAACAATGTCGTCTTTGTATACTTATTCGTCTAATCAATGTGTTTAAATCCGAAGTTGCAATACTGCAATCCTGTAAAGTTGAACTGAATGGCCAGAAAAGGAAAATTATCTAACTCAACCTAAGGAACTGGATTATGGAGACCGTCGTTTGCTGTGCTGCATCTCTATGTTAATGTTATTATTCAGGATAGACCCAGTCCTGAGTTCACTCGATTATTTCCTGCAACGTGCATAAGACTAACTAAACTGCTGAAACGTTAATCTGAACTGTAATTATTTAAGTAACGTTGTGTATGGCCCAGTTTCAAAATTGAAGAAATGTTTTTGTCATAGGAAACGGACCTCCAAATTGGTCAGCCGTCTTTCTTTTACTAAAAACTATATAAGGTTTTTTGTGCCTGTTCCAAAGCATTCTTCAAGAACAAGAGCGTCAATGTCCATTCGAAATCTTCAACTGTGACGTATTTGTAAGCGTGTTTAAAATATTTATTAAGTCTTTTCTCGAAGAAGGTTTTAAATTAAGTTCGTCTCTTCGTTTTGAAATAAGTAAATGCAAGTGCAATTAGACAGTATAAATATATTATTTTTGTATATTATTTTAATATTTATGCTAGTGTATTTGACCAAATTTGACAAAATATTAAAGATTTATACTTCCCACGTTCGATTAAAGATAACAGCCTTATATTTAGGTAATTTATAAAAAAATATGAATAAAGTTTTAAAAGAGTTAGGCGTTTAACATAAATTAACCAATTAAAAGCGAAGTTCTTATAAAATGTCGCTTTAATTTACGAGTCAACGTCAGCTCTCGCAATAAGTGGGTCTATCTCGAGTCCCTGCCCTCGTATTCCCAGGGGATTATGACTGAAATGCAAATACTATTAAGTGGAGCAGGTATATTTCGACAAAACCGTCCTGTTATAGCGGAGCCCCTCAAATTTACTCTTAACAAAAAATATAAAGGAGCTTCGAAGGGCTATGAGTAAAAAGTATATATGTGTTATGGACTTGATGCCTCTAGTAGTAATCATTGAAGATTGGATTTTGGGTAATATTCTTATCTTGAAAATTCTTTAATAAATATCAAAATTTTGTTTTGATGTTTTTTTAAGAACGATATAATCTATTACACGCTTTATATTAGATTCACCTGGGAGTCCAAAAATCTAAAAAATTTAACCTATTTCTACCCCACCGATTAAGCTAAAATTTTGCAAACGCTGGTGACAATATAATCTATTAACTTAATATTGTAATTTGTTTAAAATGGCGGATTACCTTTTTTTTCACAACCTACTCGATAAGGATATCAAATGAAAGGGTTTTACTAGTAGAAAACAACTAAATCCAAAATGGCGGCCGTTCTAGGATAGCGAAATACTTATTTTTACTACCTTCTTGACATGGGTATCAAATAAAAGGGTTTGTCAAACAGAATACTTGACGTTATTTTAATATGGCAGATGTAACTTAGGAACTTTTGGTCTAAACCTTTAGGTACTTAATTTTAAGTATAAAAAGTAAAAAAATAATAAAATAATAATAATTAAAAACACGCTTCAACGCACTAAAAAGTATAAAATAATGTAAATTATTTAACATTTTTTTGCAATTAATAAACTTGTAACTTCTTATTGTTCAATTACAAGGCCAAAAAGCATTGGGCGCTTGTCGAAATTATCTAAAAGTACACGCTTCTTAAAGAAGTTATTCTTAAAAAAGTTAGTATATGGAATTGCCACAAGAAGAAAGTAGCAAAGGGGCAGTTAAGTGACTATTTTATACCGTAGTTGTTTTGAGTAAATATTTTATAGTATATTATTTATCATTTTGATAAACGCCATTTTAGTTACAAGTTTAATTAGGCACAATCAAATCTTGCGAGCGAGTGTTTAATAAAAACATGTACTTATCTAGAGAAGTTTATAAAACGAGTTGCATACTAAAAAGCCATAAAGTCACAGTTTGTCAATGTAGGAGTAGATAATAGTATATTATGTATCAAGTTTGATAAACGCCATTTTATACACGAATTAATGAGTGTATAGAAAAGTTTATAAACGAGGTGTATAGGTACTATACTTTTTCTACGACAAATACTTATTATTATCTTAAAATGATTTAAATCAAAAATTTGTATAAAGCGCCATCTATGAAACAAAAGGGGAATCTGTGTGTCACCGCCAAATGTCAATTTTTTTATTTTATAAACACAGATTATAAAGGTTATAAATCGAAATGTATTTTTTGAAAATTGACAGTTTTTCACAGTGAAAGTAAAGAAAATGTTTTATGAGCACTTTACAGTGGAGTCCGTGCCCGAATTTAAGTTACTGTTTACTGGTGGCGAAATTAAAAGGTAAGTATAATGTTCATATAAACTCTTCAAATATCGGCGTTCAGAAACTATTTAATACTTTTGTATTTGTATATTGAGATAATATAATAATTTTCACATTTAGTATTATTTTACAAGAAAGGCACTTTATTTTAACGATTGTATGACATTTGACAACTGACAACTAACTTAAAACTAACTTCAGCCCGTGACTAAAAACCTGTTGCTAACTTCAGCCCGTGACTAAAGCGCCGTAAAGCCACAACTTGTCAATTTGTATTTAAAAGGTCACTTAGTGTCATGAAAACATGTACGATAAAGGGCGTTTTAAAGGTGGGAGTAGAAAAAATATTTTATTTATTTAATATTTTATATTTTATTTAGCAAAATACAAATTATGTATTCAGTACAAGATACTAGAAATGTTGAAAGAAAATTTATAAGTGGATTTCTTGGTAAAAAATAATAGTGTTTATTCATATGAAGTTATGCTTTACGGGTTTTTGTTCCTAAGTTACAGGGTGTACAAATTTTTAAAATAAAATAGTTTTTGATGCGTTGCAACGTAGGGATAGAAAGGATTCTGAAGATTTTATTTCGAGGTTAGTTGATACTATATACGGAACAATAAGTTGATAAGGAATTAATGGAAATACAAAACAAAATTGATAATCCGGAAGAATTTATCAAAGAAATAATTTAAAAACATATGGTATGCTGGAAGTGGAAAGTAAAAATGTATAGGAAAATCTAATAAACATAATAATTATTAATCTAAAGCTGAGAGATAAAATTAATGAAATGGATTTTAAATCCTGTTATAGACTTAAGAGGTAAAGAAGGTTCACATCGTCAGATTATAGTAAAATTTTGCATATACGTTGTAAAGCAATACATATTTAGAAATCAAAGCAAACTTAAGGGCACAAAGATAGTAGTAAGTAAAGAAGATCTTACTGCTAAACGGATGGGCATTTATTAAAAAGTTTGTAAAGAATTCGATTTTAAGAATGTGTGGACAGCTAAAGGTAACTTGCATATGCAAAATTAATGATAAAATTATAAATATCTCATCTTTTAAGGACTTAAATAAGTTTAAAAATTAGTGTATTTATTACCACCTTACTGACTAGGTACCTTGGTCTTAATCATTGCGTTTGTTTTATTAGGTGGCCAACTAAATGTTAGATCACATCTGCCAAAGATAGTTGATGTGAGACAACTTTTGGTTGATCATAAATATAAAATATTGGCCCTATCTGGCTATCACCAATAATAAATATTTTTCAAATCAATATACAGGCATGATCGTGATGGTAGTGGAGGAGGTGTGTGTTTTTATCCAATGAATTACAATTTAGGATTATTGACACGGGTGCTATTGAACAAATATAGATTTATATATATTTATATAATATCTTCCTTGATGGTTTTAAAACATCATTTTGCACTTGCTTACCTCGATGATATAAAATGATTATTCTGTTTGATTTTAATATTAATTTATTTAATGTTGATGCTGCAGACATAAAACGTTTGAATTATTTAATGGATTCAGTTGGATTTGGCCAAATAATTAATAGACCTACACAAATAACCAAAAATAGCGAATTGATCTAATAATTGTATAACATATTTATTTTATACATAAGTACAAAATTTTATACATAATTACAAAAATTTTAATTTAGATGTATCTGATCATGAACTAGTTTTTTGTATGCTAAAATTGTGTTCACTATCTGCACGGATGTCCGACAAGTCCCCGCACACATCCCATTCATACCGATGATATTGTATTTTTCAAGAAGCGTTTTAATATTTGCATAGTCTACTTTTAAGTGTACAGAATATGCAACCCGTAAGGAAGGTAATTCCTGGCCATTGTGTAAGAGAACCGCCTTTAAGCTGGAGACAGAACTATCAATAAATAAACTATATTGCTTAGTATCATGAACTAAACTGCGGACCACTCAATGTGTCGCGACCAAAAATTTCATTCTTTTTTAAAACGACATAACTTCTTTGTTTCTTTAACGATTTTATTTTGGTCTATGATGTCTGCTAGCCTCATTCTCTGGCAATTCATGCTATAGATATGAAGCTCACGGTTCGTCAAGTAAATTTCCTTCAGGGTGATATGTTAAACGGTGAAAAATTTCAATAAATTTATCCAAGCCTTGTTTGTAAAAAAATAATTTTTTTCTCGTTTTTATTTTGAAATAATGAAGTATTATGTGTTACCTTGAAATGTTTTTAAAGTTTTTCGAATTGGAATCTTAGCAACGACGATATGATTTTTTTTCGGATTTTTTTAAGACATTTAACAGCCGGAATTGTTTTCGAATTTTGATTCTTGGTGATTTTGGTTTTATCTGAAACTTAAATTTGACAACTGAATCACAATCAGGAGGTCAAAATTATAAATAAAACATTTCACGAACGTAAATATCGGTTCAGGTTTAGTTTTCGCAAATTTTTACCAAAATGTCATTTTGAAAAAGTGGTCTTTACTTAGGCCCCTTTGAAAATAATGTCGCTTGTCGCTTGTTCAGAATTGTTCAAGGAACAATCTTTCACCATCTTATTTTTATGTTCTTAAAAAGACTGAGTGTATTGCCTACCAAAAAGCCTTAAATGTACTCTTTTGTAAAAAACAATCAGATTTTCGTTGCTAAGATTCCAATTCGAAAAATTTGAAAACCTTTTCAAGGTAAGACATAATTCTTCATTATTTCAAAGTAAAAACGAAAAAAAATATTTCTTTTTTCAAACGGGGCTTGGATGAAGTTATTGAAATTTTTCACCGTTTTACATATCACCCTGTAGGAAATTTACTTCATGAACCGTCGGCTTAATATCTATAGCATGAATTGACAGAGGATGGGGTTAGCAGACATCACAGACCAAAATAAAATCGTTCAAGAAACAAAAAAGTTATGCCGTTTTGAAAAAGGACGAACTTTTTGGTCACGACACATTGAGTGGTGCGCAGTTTATTTCAATTTCGTTGAAAAGTCCATTGACGTCAGCACAAAAACAAATATCATCTTGGAATGAGTTATGGATACGAATTGACATTACAGCAAAGTGATCGTTACCACTACTGCTTTAATTAAATTTTACCACTACATGTTATTAAAACCTTTTACCACAACACTGTTGAAACTTACGACTACATATTGGTATATGGTACCATTAGTACATTATTTCAGCTACTTATAATAGTTTTTAACACAGGATATAACAGTAAGGCAAACCTTAGCCAAAATCATTGTTTAATTTGTATTATTGATTGCACTTCCCCCTATAATTAGGTTTTCTCAACAGCACGTTAAGGTAGTAAATAAATGACAATTATATTAAAAACATTCTGTTGTAAAAGTTAAATAAGACCTACAAAAATTATGAAACAACTAAATATAATAAAAAACATGGCGGATCCTTAAATTATCGTAAATAACAAGTGTTTGTTAATTTAATTTTTGTTTGTAGTTTTTTTTCTTCTAAATTAGTGTTGCATACACTGCCTAGTGAATGTGAGAAGTAAAAACCTTGCCGATAACATATAGGTATTACTTTAAAACATCGAGAGAAAACGAGTTATAGGTAGGTACCTACCTAACCCCCAAAAATCAATATTATAATACCTATAGGTAAAATGCGTTTTACGATCCGTACCGTTTAAAATGGGGAGTAGTTCCACAACATCCCAGTCCTTTAATAACTGTTCCATACCTACTCACAACACGATAAAAACAGTATAATATCACAAAACTACGCCGTAAACAGGCAACCACTAAATGACCGAATTTTCCGGTTTCGTACCAAATTTCATTAACTATAACATTATTAGTATTAACCACAGTAGTGGTAAACGTCAAAAAATTACTATTTGTAGTGGTAAGCTATTTATTACGAACCAGTTGTAGTGGAAAAATTAACCATGAAGCACAATTGTACAATTTTAAACTATCTTGTTATAATCCGTGCCACTTATAGTAGTGGTAAATTTAATTTATAGAGTATACCATTTCGTAGTGGTATGTATCTCTCATTTAATATTAATCCTAATAACATTGTCCCTGTTGTAGTTGGTCAAAGTCACTTTACTAATACAAAAGTAAAATAAAAGTGAGATAATTTTTTTTAGTGTATATTTAAATAATTATTTAATCACATATTTTCTTAAAATATTTCACTACAATCTAAATTATAGTATATTATGTATCAAGTTTGATAAACGCCATTTTATACACGAATTTAATTTAGGCACGAGCGAGCTTGCGAGCGAGTTCTTAAATTAATATAATTAATATATAATTTATAAACGAGGTGCATACTATACTTTTTCTACGACAAATACTTATTATTATCTTAAAATGATTTAAATCAAAAATTTGTATAGAGCGCCATCTATGAAACAACAGGGGAAACTGTCAAATGTCACATTTTTACATTTTATAAATACAATTATAAAGGTTATAAATCGAAATGTATATTGAAAATTGACAGTTTTTCACAGTGAAAGTAAAGGAAATGTTTTATCAGGACTTTACAGTAGAGTCCGTGCCCGAATTTAAGTTAGTTAGTTTATTGCCGGCGAAATTAAAAGGTCACAATGTTCATATAAACTTTTTAAATATTGGCGTTGAGAAACTATTTAATATTTTTGTATTTTTGTATTGAGATAATAAAATAATTTTCACATTTAGTAATATTTTACAAGAAAGGCACTTTTATCACATAATGATTGTATGACAATTGACAACTGTCAACTAACTTAAAACTAACTTCAGCCCTTGACTAAAAACCTGTTGCTAATTTCAGCCCGTGACTAAAGCGCCGTAAAGCCACAACTTAAGTTTTGACCTTTTAAATACACATTGACAATTGTCAATGTGTATTTAAAAGGTCACTTAGTGTCATGAAAACATGTACGATAAAGGGCGTTTTAAAGGTGGGAGTAGAAAAAATTGTTTATTTTTTGTTTCATTGTTTTATTTTTATTTTAGAGAAACTTTACAGCCTGTCTAAATTATATAATATTAAAATGTTTTTTTCGTACAGATAAATTTAGCCGAAAACTAAATATTAAAAACGAACTTTCTTAATTTAAGAGGGACTCAAAGCTTCCATCCATCACTCCTTCAATTATTCGTTTGCGTTTTATAAAAGCATCACGTGCATCCATTAACCGCAGTGTTTGTTATTTGTTATTGGTCTAAAACAAATTACGCTACAGCGCGCGGTTTAATTTTGGTACAGGGTGAAGATTTATTATAAAGAAGTGTTTTTGTAATTTATTCCGACTCATATCTTGTATTCACTCATCTGGTCTTTGTGGGACATAAGATTTAAACGCTATTTCCTTTGAAACACAAAAAAGTAATTGCCTGTTGTGTGAAGTCGGCGATTTTCTGGGCCAAAGTTGAAAATTGATTGAAGTAAATTGCGCGCTGTCATTTTAGATTACACCAACAATAACGTTTGACGCTTTGGCGGCTGTTTGTTTGCGGCGTGCCAGCTTTCTAGCTTCTGGAAAAACCTTTTCGGAACATGTTATTTCCACTTGAAAAACACAAGGAAACCTGTTTCTTTTATACGAATCAAAACTGAAACGTTTTGCGACGAATTAAAGTTTATAGCATATACTGCAAGTTCTAAAAAGTGATAAAGCAATAACTAAATATTTGCTGGGTTAAGGTAATGCAGAACAATAAAACTTTTATTTACTTTTTAAAATTAAATCTTTAGTAAAATTACAAAAGTTACTAGATTAAACTTTTATTTAGTTTAGAATTTATAAAAAGGCTATTTCATAGCAGAATATTAGACTGTAATATAGTATATATTATGTGAGGTGTAATAAGTAAACGACCAAGGACAATTTACCAAAAAAGAGATTTCATGTAAAATGGTCCGAAAGTAGATAACAAGAATCCTGCCGACCACCACACTAAATATAGTGTAACCAATTTTCAGCTATAATATGTGTATTCTTGGAGACGTTTACGCAAAGCAAAGGGACAATTCGAGATATAAGGGCGACCTAAGATACTAAGACACGAATACTGTTGAGTGAGGATTTCTTACGGATACAGAGTTTAAAGTAGTTGTGGTAGTGCACGAAGCCCTATTGAGGCTTTGATGAGAATTTTACAATAATTTTTTATAGGAAATATCCGCCCAGTTTTATATATAATTGTTTTTTGAAGAACCTATTTAAATAATTTCTTAAGATTCCATCAAAGCATTTCAAGGTTAGGTTGAACTGACATGATATTATTTTAACTTTATTTTTGTTTGAACGTATGAACTAGAATTAATATGAAGACTTTCTATATAGACTTATGAGTCTTATAATATAAAAATTATTGTATGCTTAAAAAAAGTCCTTTCTTACACCAAAATTAATTTTTTCCATGCCTAAAATATATTTTATTAGTACAATAATTGAGGAGCATCCGTGCAAAACCGGCTAAATCCATTTTATTCAGTTTTTGTTAGAAATGAACCCAATCGACAACCATTATGTTTAAATCCGACTATATCCATGTTAAAACCACATTTAAAAGGTAGCTTTAGGAGCAAAACCGGCCAAATCCAGGTTTTTATAGCAAACCCGGCTATATCCAATAAATAATAATGATGATGAGCATGTGGCTTGGATATGTCGATACTACTACTAAAACTTGTTCTGTTTTTTCATGTTTGCACTAAATTTATTTTGTTAATATTTTTGAATAATAAAGGTTTTTTTTCTTATTTTATTCGGTTTTTAAGCAAAACCGGCCATATACAAAACATTTTTTAAAATTTTGGCGTTATATATTTTGAAAACGAAAGTATGTCTAATAAATCAAGTACCACAAAGCCCACAAAACTCAAGTTTGCTTTTTCTTTTATCTGTAAAGGCCAGGAAATGGAGAGTTTTTGCCATTTTACAGTATTTTATTAAAGTGGATATAGCCGATTTTGCACGGATGCTCCTCAATTGTTATATTAGTAGACTCATATGTATATATATATATATATATATATATAAATATATATATATATATATATAATATATTATATATATATATAGACTTCATTTTATAACTATTTCAAAAGTCAAATTATTATTAAACTCCGTGGAGAAATAAATCTAAAATGTCATCATTACATTAAAATGATGTGACAAAATCTTAGGAAATTATTTAATTGAAATGCTTGAAAAAAATAGTATATACCTAAAACACTGCGGCGAAAGCTTATTAATTGCCCCGCACACATGTGTTGCAATCTACTGGCTTGGGTATCGCTTTGGCAGTCTTTAATGTACTATTTTGCACTGCTTTGTAACTTAAACATGACACAAAAAATACATTTTAATATTATAAGTAACAAATAATAATGTTTAACAAAAAAAATCCCAAATTATGCTGTTACATTTATACAGGGTGATTTTTTTAAGCGGAAACTTTCAAATATTATAATTATATTAGGATGTCCTTTATTTCCGAAATTGACTATTTCGATTTCGCCATGGTCTTTTGTTTACAACCTAAAAATATTAAATACTTAATTTTAATAATATGGGAAAAATTTTATAACTCGCTAAGACTTAAGACAGATTGTTGTAAGGAATTGACCGTTTAAAAAAAATTACTTAACGATTACAAAATAAAGATTGTTTATTAAACACCCATTTAAATATGTAATATCAGAGGTCAAAGGAGAAATAAATAATAATTGAATTTCGTCGTCATGAATCAAACAAATCTTTTAGATAAATCCTACGTACTTTAGCCGTAAAATACGAATCTACAGTAAAAAGGGGTTCTTATTTAGGATTAAAATTACCCCCTGCCCCACCTACAAGAAAACGAAACATGGACTAATATTTAGAACAAATATATTTCCGCAGCAAATGAATTAAATTATGAGTAGGTATGGGCATGTTTTTTGTAGATTGCTCATGACTATTTTTAGATATCACCCTGCATATATATAAATAATCTTATAATATAATAATTATTCTATTAATATGCTTTCTTCCTTAAAATATTAGGTATTGTACATAAGGATTATAAAAATCCTTGAATATTATAATTAAAAATAATTTAATCTATAAAGCTTTTAGTAGCACTAATTAAAAATGCGTCTGCGCAAATCCCTAATAAATCATAAAAAAGAACAAATTACGCAATATCGTCATAAATATTCAATAACCGGAACCCTAAAAGGGATTCATAAAGTTTCAAATAAATTAAGTTCATCTTTAAATCTGAAATTTAATTAATATACATAGGGCGCGGCGTTCATTAATTAACTTTTCTCGAAATATTTAAACACTTTTTAAAACACCTTCATTGCCAAGTTAAAACTTGTTAAGCGTCTGCCCAGAATTAATTATTTAGGTTAAAGTAGCAGGACGAAGTAAGGGATTGCATAATTATTAGGTTATAGAAAAATAAATTAATTTTACAAAGAGCATGGCAAGTCTCCGTAAGGATGTTAATATTGAAATATTTAAACGATTTTATTTTATGCTGCCTGACAATCAAATATTGTATTTAAATTTTAACTATAGTTATAACTATTCTCTCTAAAAATGAAATAGTCAAAATTTTACTATTTGAATTAGTACCAGCATTTTTTACTAATAAAATAGTCGTTTTCACTTTTAAATAGTTATTTTTTACTACGTAAATAGGTAGTTAAAGTTTGACTAATTTAAGATTAGTCACCATATTTGACTATTTCTGACAGTTAAAAGTAACTAATTTCTTTAATCGTTTACGGCCAACAACAAAGTATTATTTGAATTAAATGCATAGGTATACCTCTCCATGGTTAAATTACCCATAAAACAAATAAACATGCAAAAAGTTTAGCTCAAAACAGTAACACAAATAATATATTAAACTTTAAAATATTATGAACAATCTTTATTGACAAATAAAATTTATTTTTATAAGAGCGGCTGACAGCTGAATGGTTATGAGGTTAGGTTGACAAGCTTCTCAAGTGACAGACGTGAGTTCAATCCCAGGCTGGGTCAAAACTTTTTTTAAATTTAAATTTACTAATTTAACTATTTCATTCAGTGGAATTTGACTAATTATTAGGGACTGCTTTTTCGCTATGACAATTAGTCAAATATGACTTATAATTAGTTATTTTTGACTAATTCATTTTAAGAGAGTTGATTTTCCGATCAAGCTAAAATTTGGGACATATTGCATTGTAATTTTATGGAACCCAAGTCTAGGTTGTAGCGTGCAATGTAATGGTATTAGGGTAGATCACTTTTTCTATGACAAATAGGTACTTATTATGATCTAAACATGATTTTAATTAAATATTTGTATAGAGTTACATTTATAAAAAATAGAGTAACTCGCGTAAGAATTTCTAACTTGGGAATATATATTACCGTCGAGCCGATCAAAAAGACAATTTTTTTATTTGTAAATGAAAATGTATTCCTTGAAAATGGACTAACAACCGTTTAAATCTGATATAGAAGCAGTTTTTCACAGTGAAACTTAAGAAAATGTTTATGGGCACTTCACGGTGGAGTCTCCACCCAAAATTTTTAATGATTTTTTAGTTAAATATAGTTTACTGCCGGCGAAAGGTCAGTACACACTTGCATAATATATTGTAAACTAGTAAGGCCGCCGATACAAGAGATTCTCGCCTCTGGTCTCGTCTCGTCTCGACGAGACGAGAAGGCGATTTTCTCTCGAAAAAAGGCTCGAGACGAGACGAGAGAATTTCTCGTTTCTAAACAATGCGCATGAGGAGCGCATGGGCATTATTCCAAATTTTTGCGATTTTCTCAAAATATTAAATCGATTTTAAGATTCCCGATCTCCAAATTTCAAATCTTGCCACACTAAATGGACCAATAAGAACATTTCATAATAAACAAAATTTGTTCCTGGTTAACGTTGTGTTATTTTATAACACAACTTAAGGTTAACCAAGAAAGAAATGCTGTGCTGCTCTTGGCACACACTTTTTTTTATTTCCAGTTTAAATTTCTATAGAAAAAAATATAAACGAATTCATACTTCATTCCAAATAATTTTTGTATTTATACATAACTACTTTTACCACGTGAAAAACGAGACGAGACGAGAGAAAGGCACTCTCGAGCGAGAAAAGAGTATTCTCGACAAGACGAGCGACCGATTTTCTCTCGCTGCACGAGACGAGACGAGAGAAGGACTTTTCTCGCCTCGTCTCGTCTCGCGGCATCATTTTTCAAAAAAGTATTGGCGTTAAGCCCGTTACTAAAAATCTGTTAATAACTTCAGCCCTTGACTAAAACAAGATAAAGCATAACTTGTAAATGTGTCATGGAAACTTGTACGATAAAGGGCGTTTTAGAGGTGGGAGTAGAAAAAATTAGTTTTATAGTTTATAAATGCATTTTTTTGAGAAAAGACAAAGCAATTAATAACTGGTAACTGTTATCTGGTATATGAAACAAAAAGATTGCGATTTCCGACACAGCAACGAGCCCGCCGGAGGGTTAAAGCACTTCTGCAATATATTTTTGAGC